CAACAGAACTGTATTTGCATTGTCTCGTGGAGTTCTTTGGGCTGAACCTGACATCAATCTCTCCAGACTGAACCTCAGTTCCCAAGACAGCAAGCCACAACACCGTGCATTCCTTAGGGTGGTGCCAGTCTCATCTTCCCACGCTCTTGTTGGGGGCTAAGGAAACGCTTATCTCCTTGAGTGTGGCCTTCATAACAACATTCCATCACACTAATATTCCTTCCAGTTCTACAATTCTGTGCAAAATCTATCAAGTCCTGTCTTCTTTTCACAGCAGTAGCTGTTCCGATGCTCTGGGAAGCTCATGGTTGAACTATGCCTTTGTGGATTCTCCCCTGGCATTGAATGGTGGCATTGAATTATTGCCATTTATGGCCATTCATGCTTATCATGTCTGTTGCTTGCAATAATTTAATTACAGCCAACACAATTCTTCCCCTTCTTTTGCCCCTTTCATTGTGAAATATATCATAGTGGGCAATGAATCAGGAAGGGATCATTCTGCAGAAGTAAAATACGGGCAGCGTCCTGCTTTTGGTAAGTGGAAGCACGAAGAGAATACAGGTTGTTACATCTGTGGGCAACAAGCTGCTGAGTCTGTACGGAGCAACCTCGAATTGGTTTTCAAAGATCCCTTGATGTCCACGCTGTGATTGACACTGGATTTCAGTTCTCTGTAGTTCCTTCTCCCAACAGGGATGTGAGGAATCTTGTACCATTGAGAAAACCTTGCAGAGTATCTAAGAATTTCTTGCGCACATTATAGACCTATTTGGACTTTGATGATTCAATAGAGCTTGTATCGTTGATACAGTCAAGTGGCATCAGGCATTGATGGACTGCTTGGAGGAACAGAAGAGGATCTCTTGCTCCACCTCAAGGTTTTCCAGTCTTGGGAATCGTGCACTTTGAGGAGTGAAGGCTGCATTTCATCGCCATCACCCGACAGGATTGAACAAAACTAATTTTCGGCCTTTGATTGGTTTCTGCAGCCAGAGCCATCCATGTGAGCGGAAGGGTCCTGAAAGCTGAGACTTTCCATCAGTGGTGGAAAAATTACTGTGAAGCCACGAGGGCGTGCTTTCCCGTACGGCGTAATAACAGTGTTTTTGCTGTGGGGAAGGACCGGCACTGGCTGTGGGTGTGGGAAGAAAAACTAAACAATATACTAGTTCTCTCTGCAGCTCCACAAGACTATTATACCAGCGCTTAAGGGGAATGTGCTTTCCCCCACAGTATGCCTGGGTAACTCACATTATGCTAATAGAGAATAAAGGCTGCAAGGAATTTGCACCACTTAGATTTTATTGTTTTTCCTGCTTTGCAAGATCTTACGTTCCACTTCTGCTTCTCAGAAACATCACCTGGGTTGTCTTGTAGCAGATCTAAAATACGAGGCACAATGGGTAATGGTGAAACGAAACCCAGTTTCCAGTGGGCCCATTTCTGCTAAAATCTCAAAGGGTTGCTTGCAGAATAATGTTCCTTTTCATTGCATGTTGCAAACAAGGGTAGGCACCGGTTTAGAAACAAGTCCTTAAGAGAACCTGGTGACTTCAGAAAGATCCAGCATCATTCTCGTCATGCAGATGATCTGGGAGCTTCCTTGAGCCATTGTGGGCTCCTGTGGAGTCATTTTTTCCATGTGCCACAGAACGACAGGGGAACATTTTTTTCTCGGTTGTTTAACATTGTCATTTCCCATCCCTTAGGTGGAATGCTTGCCCATGGAATCTGAGGGGAAAATAATAAAAATGGGAGGTATCAAATAACAAAATGCTAAATTAACTGCTACAATAGCTGTAATTAAAGCATGAAAGCCAGTGTAGAACCATCAGTCACATTGAGTGCTAGTCTGAAAACATCTTCTGCCTTTTTAAAGTCATCCTTCTACAGTTTTAGGGAAAAGTAAATGATTCCAGTTTTTTTAAAAAAACAACATTTCAGTTACATTTTATCTTATTTATTAAGGTGATCAAGGGATATGCGTAAGTTCAGATCAGGAGGCAAGGGTAGCCTAGGAGAATGTAGCATGATGAGAGGTCGGTAGCAGCAGCCCTACAAGCACAACATCAATATCTTCCCATCTCACAGTAAAACATAAAACAGCAATTCTCCTGAAGGAATTCTAAAGCATCCTGAGAATGAGGCAGAAAAACAGAAGCCTCTTTTGCAGAAGAAGAAAACTTTGGAAAAGTGCAAAGACAGATTTTGATTCCTTGTTTTTTTATTATTATTTATTAAATATTTAGCATTACTGAAATGCCAAGCAGAACAAACATGTTTTTAAAACACAAACACAGCCTTTTTATTTTTTTAAAAGATACATGTTCTTGGAGAGAGAAAGTTCTACCCCTAAAAATTCTAGGTTTCTCTAACCAACTATCTGATTATTCTTAAATCCAGGAGAGAGCAAGATGAACAGATCTCTCTCTCTGGAAATTGGTGGTTTTTCCCTTTGCCTATTATAAGCTAGATGAAATTGCCCAGAAGTTGTGGAAACAGGCTGAAAAAAGGATGTAGTTTAGGGGTAGTTTTTTTTTTTAAGTCTTAGGATCAATCCCTGGCATTTATAGTTAAAAGTATCCAAGAGCTGATGATGGGAAAAGCTTTTTATTGCCATAAAAAATGCTCCCAGTCCAAAAAGACAATAATAATCCAGATACATTAATAGCCTGGTTTAAAATAAGGCAGTTTTCTCGTAATGCCCACTTGGGCATTTGCATCCCCTTTAATAACTCTGATTTGTTTCTTAGGGATGACTATATTTCAGCGGAGAGAGAGAGAAAGAAAATTAGAAAACTCTGGGACTTCCTGCCCCGTGATGCTCATTTAGACCCTTCAGAAAAATAGTTAACATGGATTTTGTCCAGCTGGACTTCGGCAAGAGCCTGATTGACAGTGCTTATTTAGCTCCTATTTTTATATGTTTTCAGTTGGCTTAATTATTACTGTTATTGTTGAGGAATCAAGCTCCTTTATAGAACTGGAAAATGACAAATAAGTAAATTGTACAAGAAGCTAGGGAACTTTTGTAACTTTTTCTTTAAAATCCTTTGGATTGTGTTGGCTTTCAGTCCTTGTTTCCTGTTCTTGCAGGCCAGCCCTTCAAGCTGGACCCAAAAATGGCTCATAAGAAGTTGAAGATCTCCAATGATGGGCTCCAGATGGAGAAAGATGAAAGTTCCCTGAAAAAGAGTCACACCCCCGAGAGGTTCAGCGGAACAGGCTGCTATGGGGTCGCGGGGAATGTGTTCATTGACAGTGGGTGCCATTATTGGGAGGTGACCCTGGGAACCTCCACCTGGTAAGTGGGCCGTGTTGGGTAGGAATGGGCTACCCTAACAGGTTGCACGGATAGGTCAAGATGCTGTATTCTTTCTCACCGTTCCCCATCATAAGACATAAGGATTATTCAAAGGAGGATGCACAACCAATGCAATGTAAGAGATGTAAGGTCATCAGCATATTAGCCCCCTTGGTATCCCTGTTTTCTGTCTCCAGAATATTAGAAGGCTTACCGAATTCGGAGGCTTCCTCAAGTGGGTGGTGATCACCAAAGCTGATGTGAGAAAGGATTTGCTAGCTTTTCAGAGGTCACAAGACTCTTGTTACTTTAGCTGTGGATGATTTGAATATTAGTGTGACTTTTTTTTTAATGGCACTAAGGTAGTGGTTAATGGCCCTTCTCTTGGCAATGCCCTTTAACTCTTGAACCTCTTTTGTGATCAGGACATTGTCTCTTATCCCAGAAATTGACATCTTTAAACAAGGAGGGTGGGATTTAACATTGTGCTTACAGTATTTGTCTTGATTCTTAAGAAAGGGATGAACTATTAAAGCCTAGAGGCTCTCAAATTCCATTTTCGCTGGAGCTTCCCCTGACTAGGCAGTTGTATTTCATTGGTACACGGTTATTTTGAGGAACAAAATGCAGGACAATTGTAGCATAGTGTTAAAGTAGGATACACACACACACAATTTATTTATTCTAGATATTTCGATTCTGGACATTTCAGCACCTCCCAGGTATATGACAGGGCCCTGTCTTCTTCATGTGATCACTCAACCCATGATAGCATCAGCCTACTCCACCCTTGTAAACCACACCTAGCTACCAACCCACCCAGATTTAAGAAAAGTGCAATATAGTATGTAATAATTCTGCTAAAGTGCTATATGATGTTCGATCGTTGTTATCTTGGTGCCAAGAAAAGCAGAGTTTCCACACAAAATCATATGTAGAGTCCTGATATATTATGCTGTCCTGCAAGAAATCTTCTGTTAGTTGGCCCTGTCCCCCAGCTATGGACCTCAAAGAAACCAGCTATGGATTGGTACTCAGTGGCATTGTTTGCATGATGAGCTCACTCATGGTAAACTAAATTAGCTCCATTTTCTGGGTTAGCACCATACACTAGGTTAAAATAGCATATTTGTTGTGGCTCAGTGTGTCATGCAAATAACCCCAGAGAAAAGACAAACCAATAATAAGTGCTTGCAGAGCAAGATCATTTCAGGACCATGGAGAGCTCTGAAGAGAGCTGTTGTTTCAGCACTGGCCTTTGACCACAAAGGTCTTAAGAAAGCTGGTGAATCTTTAATTCCTTTCCTGCTGGCTGCTCTTTGAAGATAAAAGCCCTTTCTGAAGTCTTAAATTCTGCTGAGGCTAGGAAAATGGCATCCTTGGAATCTGAGCTAGCTGATAGGATGGCTATATCTGGAAGCTGGGATTACACAAAAGGGAGTGCTGAGAGCTTCTCTCAAGTTGGGGCAACCTAGGGCTCACTTTTCTTTAGGACTTTTCTGGGCTCCTGAATTTAGGGATATTTCACCACCACTTCTTAATCACCAAGATCCATTTACAAAGCCTACAGGGGGTAGAAGAGGCTCTACTGAACCCTTGCCCAGTAGAGTAACAGGAAGAGTCTGTCACACATTCCCTGCAAAAGATTTCAAGATTTCACTGGTAAGTAGTTTTTCAGGAAGAGCTACTCTTTTCTTCAGAACCTGGTGTTTCTCTGAAAGCCATTTCCATTCAGTCTCTTCTGCTGGAGGGCTTCATTTAAAAATATGCACTGGCAGCAGGAGCAGCACAGGCTGTGTGTACTCTCCCAAGGTTCATGAGCGATGCACCCACTCGCTCTGTGCTGCAGGGAAGGAGGGCACAAATAATTGAGCTGGGCTATGGCTGCGATTCAAAGCGACCCTCAGGCATGTGTCATACAAAAATTCACTGATCAAAGGCACAGCAGGGACCTGCGGCTTTCGGTAGTTGCAATTGAAATGTCATCAGCCCCCATCTCCTGCGTGCAGTTCCCGTTGCCCTTCTCTAAGCCAATATCCATTCTTCTTTTGTCTTCCTCCCACAAAGCCACCAAGTTCAGTTTCAAGAGAAGGCTCTATTGGGTAGCCCATGGAGCCAGAAAGTGACTTCAAATCAGGTGTCCATGAAAATACTTATCAATTCCTTGGGTCTTTCATTATGTGTTAACAATGTAGTTGGTGAATAGTCTGTTTCGTTTGAGGAGCGGAGCAGCTGAATCAAAGGTTGAACTGCTTTGCTTCACTTCCCCCAAAGCTTAGAATGGATCGTAACACTTGATAAACACACAACTTTTAGTAATGCCAAAAAGTGGTTCTTCCACATTTTGCCCTGAGCGTATTCAAAAATGTCCTTCTTTTGGACATTCAGGACTTGAATTTCTCTTGTTCCTGTAGTAGTAGTAGTAGTAGTTATTACTATTGTTACAAGAAGTGTTTTTGCCAAAAAACAATTTACAAATGGAAGTATTGAGTCAATTCCTCCTTTCTGTGGGCTAAGAAGCAAGACAATAGGACGCACAAGGAAAAAGGATACGGGAGGAGAAAGAAAGCCTAGACGTGAATTCTTACCTTGACTACTGGGATAAAAGCTGGTCAAATAGCATCGTACATAGCTACTAGCTAGTTGACTGGTTGAGGAGAGTCCAAACTGGTGGTCTTCTCAGCTATGATGATCCACTGGCTCTATTTCTCACTGGTGGGCAACCTTTGGGATTAGATAATCAAGAGAGGTCCTAGAAAACTGATGTCTTTACACAGGGAGTGTTATAGTCCTGTGTATTCAATACATTCCAGAGTAGACTTTTTCCTGATCGTAGCAGTTCATCGGAGACTTGCACCTTGAGGAGAGTTTTGGGATGGAACTGCTTTGCAAATTTTCATTTTCTCATAAGATTGGCACATGGGAAAGGATTTCAATTCCTGAGCTATAGCATAGACTATGGAAGTGTCTGTTATTACACGTGTAGACAAATGCTGGAGCTTGGACTCTGAAACATCTCCTAAGGACAATATTCAAAACAAAGGCCTCTGTGGGCATCCCTGATCATCTTATTTGCTGCATAGGTAGCAAAGCATAGGTTTCTTACCTTTCAGACTTAGAAATTGCAGGGGGAATCTATGCCTGTTAGGCTTTATAGGTTATAACCATCACCTTGAATGGAATCCTGGAGGCAGATTCAGGAAGATGCTGAGCCTCAGAGGTGCTAGAATCAGATTTGTGAAGACTTGGACATCAGGTCGTGATGACTGTGGCTAATACTGAAGGATAGATTGCAGGAAAAAAGTAAGGCAAAGAGACAGAGTCTCATGTCCACCCATAAGATCTCTCACAACAAAAGCCCACTTTCTTGGGATCTCTTTTATAGAAATACAACCCTCCTCAAGAACAATGTCTGCTTCACTTGATGTATACAGTAGATGTAGAAGGTAGGAGCTTCTGTGCTGAGGCTCTGTAGAGAAAGGCCCAGCTTAGCAAGGCAAAAGCTGAAGATAGTGAAATGCACCATAATAGCTGGACTGTGAAATAGGAGAGCACACTTCACCGTCTTCCCATCATTTGCATTTGACGCAGCATGAAATTAAGAATTCTGCACACCTGCTTTAACAACAACTAGGGGTTGATGGGCATCGCTGGGCAATTACTTTTTTGTGATGAGAGAATTCACTGCCCTCCCTCCACTCACTCACTCTCTCTCTCTGTCATGCACGCGCACACACACCCACGCCCCTATATGTGCATGCAGAACCACACTTCGTTTTGTTTGATTGATGTAGCCCACCTTCCAAGAGATTCCCATGGCAGCTTACAAAACATTATGGTGAAAGGAGAACTAAAACAGGGACTTTGAAGCCACCACCACAATGTAAAAGTGCTGCAGAATGACAAACACAAAGCTGTGCCAAAACTGTGCAGGGTATTTAAAAGTCTGGGGAACTAAAAGTAGACTTTGCTTACAAAATTTACTTGATTTGCTCATTTTTGCTCCCAGAAAGTCAGGGTGGAATGCATGCTTATCCTATTGTGATCTGCAGAACAATTCTGTGAGGCAGACTTGACTCAGAGAAATAGCAGTGGGAATGGAGTCAGCTGAAAGCCACTTTGATGTAGTGGTTAAAGACACCAGGCTAGAAACTGGGAGACCGTGGGTTCTAGTCCTTCCTCAGACATGAAGCCAGCTGGGTGTCTCTGGGCCAGTCTCTCCCTCTCAACCCTGGGAAGAAGAAGGCAAGGGCAAGCCACTTCTGAAAATGTTGTTTAGAAAACTGCATGGATTGGTCCATGTAGTTGCCAGGAGCCAAGACTGACTTGAAGGCACACGAAAATGGAGTCAGCTAATGAGCAGTCTAGTTGAATGAATGTGTGAACCCTGTGGATGTCCAGCATTTAAGCCACTCTACCCAATTGATGAATGGATGCAGTCCTTTTGCCTCATTTCATCTGATCTCCTGTAAGTGACTCTTGGTCTCCTTCCTGTTTCCCCAGGTACGCCATTGGCATTGCCTACAAATCAGCCCCTAAGAATGAGTGGGTCGGCAAGAACTCCTCCTCTTGGGTTTTCTCCCGCTGCAACAACAGTTTTGTAGTGCGGCATAACAACAAGGAGATGCTGCTTGACGTTCACCCCCAGATGAAGCGCCTGGGCGTTCTCCTGGACTATGACAATAATGTGCTCTCCTTCTATGATCCTGCCAACTCTCTCCATCTTCATACATTTGAGATTGCTTTCATCCTGCCTGTCTGCCCCACCTTTACCATTTGGAACAAATCATTAATGGTGGTCACAGGCCTTCCTGCCCCAGACTTTATAGACTACCCGGAACAGCAGGAATGCAACTGCCGACCCCAAGAGTCCCCATATGTATCAGGAATGAAAACCTGCCATTGAGGATCCAAGGAGACCCTTCTTTCCAGCCAAGAACTACTGTGCAACTAGATGGGGAGGCAGGCTCATCTGTGTTTGGAGGCCGTGGGCAGCCTGCTAGCTTCTCTCTTACTGAAATTCCACCACTCATGGTGCACCTTGTTCAAGGAGTGTGGGTGGTGTTTCATGGACCAGATTTTTAAAATTTTATTTTATTTTTTTGATAGCACTACTGAATTATCTCCAATGGAGTTGGCATGTCTTGTTTGTTCTTGACAAGAAGAAGGGTACCATGGCAGGGTATGGAGATGGGTCATGCCATCTCAGCTGCAAGGGAATCAAAAGTGCAACAAGAGTTTTGTTTTGTATACAGGCAGAGCGTTCTTAGGGTCCCCATCAGGTCTCTAACCTATCATTTTGGGAGAATTGGAACCAAACAAAATTGGAACCCAAGCCATTGCTAGAAAGTACAGGTCTGGGTTCACCTATTACCCCATGACAATTGTACATGGGAGGAGGGGGCAGAATGAATTTAGCACTCTGCAGATGTTCCTCCTGCACATTAGCAGACACATGGAAAAGGGACTTAGCCCTGTCCCAAACATTTTCTCATCAGCCTTATCCCCCCGCTCATGTACATTCAAGCACAGTGGCTATAAACAAGGATTGGCCCATAAACTGCTGATTGCACATCAGTTCCCCTTGGCAGATGTTACACTGAACATGCAGAGGCACGAGGAGAGCATTTGGTGCTCTGTGAGTGCAACCCACTTTCTTCCAATCCCAGTCTAAATGAATGGAGATGAGATCCATGTAGACCTATGATATGCACCCAGTGTGAATATGTTGGGAAAACTTGGCTAACTGAAGCTTTGCGCATGCACTTTTACATACAAGTGGGAGCCCGCTGCTGGTGGTGGCAGACTAACTTTTCTTCCTACCCAGAGATACCTTCTGAGTAGGGAATTTTGTAAGCAAGTGAAAAGTCCAAAGAGCCATAAGGAATGCATTTTATTCAGAAATGAGTGACATGGTTCTAGCCTAAAAGCTATAATAACTTCAGGATGTTGGTTTTTGAGATGCAACAGATTCACTTCTTTGGCTCACAGCATACTTTGCCTGGAACTTTACTAGGGGAAAAGGAGCCAGTAACACCCCCTGCAACCCAACCCAACCCAACCCAACCCAAGGCAGGAAACATAAGAGGAAGCATTTAGATTTAGGACAGTCTCTGAACCAACAATTTACTTTGTAAAGTTAGCGTTCCAGATGGGTAGAATCCAAAAGGATTCCTCCACTTTATTTGCTGGTGTCCTGATTGTCCCATTTTTTGGTGCAGATCATTTGATCTGAGGTTGGTTATCCCTCGTTTTTCTGGGACAAGGCATCCTTGCTGCTTCCTCCTCTAGTAGTTCCCATCTTAGAGGGACCAAGTCAGGTGGCTCCGTTATGTCACCTGATGGGGCAGACTAAACTTCAGCCTATTTGTGTGTGTGTGTGGGGGGGGGATTGCAAGGGTCCCAAATGGATGCACTAAACCTCCCAGAGGTGTAACACATCTGTTTGGCCTTTAATTTGACCCTACCCCCCCTAAATTGCTAAACATTGCACTGCCAAACATAGGTCATTTTAATTGCTGAATTTCTTGGCATGGCTTGGGTACCTCAGATCAAGCCTTGGGGGGGCATGCATCCCATGGAATGCCCACTTGTGATATAGGAAAAGATGGGAACTGTAGTCCCCTAACTTTCCACCCCAGACTGGGGGAGGCTGTTTTAGATTGCAGCCCATTGTTGTGGCTTCCAGAAAAGTCATACCAGATCATTCCGTGTCTGGGGACAGAGTGGCATCAACTGCCATATGGAAGAAAGCTTGAAATGGTTTCTTCTTTGCTCAGTATGCTCAACATTTGGGCATTTTCTTCCTTGGGGGAATGTGGCTTCTGTTGCTTTAGGGGTCAAAGAAAAACATTGAGAGCATGATATTATTCAGGTTTGCATTGTGTTTGCCCTCAGGTTCTGTCATGCAATGCAGGGAGAATTTAATTGAGATGTTGGCAGGTCAAATGTAATGCCATTGGAAGATTTCAGTGGGATGCCACTGTTACAAAGAAGTAGCCATCATGCCACAGTATTTGGTGTTCTGTAGCTATGGGCAGGTACCCTACAAGGTTTCCTCTACAGCAATGACCAAGACTTTTACGATTGCTGCTAAAGTTGTCACTCCTAAAGACGTAAGGTCAGTGGCACAAGGATCAACTTCCTTCAAGTTGCGTGACGTGACTTGAAATTGCTTTTTGTTTTAGAGAGAGGGTTTTTGGGTCGGCTCAGTCTGAAGAGGTGACCTGAAATAAATGGGAGGGTACCCCCACCACCAATGTCCTTGTGCCCAAATATCAAAGTCCAAGATCACTGTGATGTGGTAGTAGTGTTCCTGTTTTATTTCCTGCCAACTTGTGTACGCATTATTGCACAGAATTCAATAATCTATCATAAACTTCTGAGAATCTCAGCCATCATTTAAAAAGCAAACAAACAGTGTTTTAGATCACTAGCCTTTCTTTATGGTTCAACAGAGATGTGGAAATGTAGAAGCAAAAACATCTCCAGAAGGCCCTGGAGTTAAGAGATGGAAAATATGTGCCCTTCATAATTTTCCTTTCTCTGACGCATACCTCTCGATTGTGTTCTGTATCTGTCATAACCTCTTCTTATCCCCATAATCTCCTCTTCTATCTCTGCTCCTGATATCTCTCTCTCTCTCTCTCTCTCTCTCTCTCTCTCTCTCTCTCTCTCCCTCTCTCATATGAACCTGCCTCCCTTCCTCATTTCTGCAAAAGTGCTCAGATTCGACCAGTAGAGATGCAAGATGGGACATTATGCAAGATGAAAAATATAACTACAATGTATTTTGATGATTTGCTCTAATTTCAGAATGCAGTTTCTTGATGTTGAGTTGGGAGGAATTATATTCCTACAGCATGGAGAGACACTGAACAAGTTTCATTGTTCTATTTTCATTGGTTTGTCATAGATGCCTTCTGTAGCATTTAATCCCTCCCTCCCTCCCTCCCTTCCTCTTGGCTACACATGAGAACTACCTCATTGCACACACTTCCAGATGGAAATAAAAACAGGGCTTAGTTTATGGTTAGGGATTGGTAACTTGATGCTTTCTAGACATGGTGGGCTACAGCGCCCATAAATCCTAAACACTGGGGATTATGGGAATTGCAACCCAAGATATTGGAAGAGCCTCAAGCTGCCTTCTTCTGATGGGGAAGAACTGCTGCCTTCTCTCCGTTCTCCACTCCTCATCTAGAGAACTAAGCAGACCGCTTTGGGTTTTCCTGTTTCTTTAAAGGTGCTCTACCACATTTGCATGCTTGGCTGTTTTCTCCCCCATCACCAGAGCTCATGTTTTCTCCACATATTCTACAGGCCTATCGTCATCCAGGCAGCTGGGCCTGGAAGGACCTCATGTAGTTCCTCCCAGTCCTAGAGAGGCAAATGAGTTAAAAACTGCCCTTTTCTTTTTTAATCTGTCTGGCCTGGCTTATCTCAAGATGCAAATGTGTACAAATGGAGGCCAAGCTGGAGTTTGGCCATGGGTTAGAATATTTTTCACAAGTTTGATGAGTCCAGCTTTGGATGGTCTGCCAAGAAAAGATGGGTGTTTGGGAGACAATGGCATGGAAATGAAGTTTGTTTAGAGAGCCATGGCGTATTCTGCTAAATTCTTATGAGCTGAATAAATATTATACAGCATGAAGTCTCCAGGCAACGACCTTAATGAAGGGAGAGTGAGGCATCTTTGAACAGAAGGCCTTCCAGGGGTTCATAGGACAGCTGCTTCTATATCTTTCTCCAATCTGACATCTCAAGACAGTGTCCTGACTTGACCCTATGCAACCTGCCAGGACTGTCTCATATTATCTGCCTTCCTCCTCGGGTTGACCTCTGATTCCAGCTGGCAGATGTTTGTTCCAGGCCTCGGGCTGCCCTCTCATCCCTTTCACTTATCACATCGTCCTGACCATACTGCAGCTTCTGGGCTGCCCTTCATTTTCTTCCGGGGCTTTTTGCAGAGGAATCCGAATGCTTCCCCAGGGTTCAAGGGTCCAGCTTTGGGAGGAGAGGAACAGCTGAGTCCAGCTCAGGCAGAAATCAGACATGTCCCAGCACCATCTGCTGTCGCAGCCGCAGCGAAGGATGCATTTTCATCAACTGAACTGCCTTTCTAACTGCACTCGCGGGAACAGTTGATCAGAAAGAACCAGAGCTGTTCCTTCCCCTAACGGTTTCAGCGGTCGCCTTCTTTAGTGAAGGCACAGTAAGCTGTTGCAACTGCTTATGAATTAGGAAATTATATGCGTTTCTGTCTGAGCGAGAGAGAAAGAAAACGTGTGCACTTTTGGGAGAAGGAGCAGCCATTCTGGCTGTAGCTGAAGAACACCAGGGTTGGCCTCTGGAAGCATAAGGCCCTCATTATTGGACACTGGCTTCTGCTCTGCAGCCAGATATAGTGCAAATAGGAAAACTGGGTTTCCGTGAAGAGTTGGCTCATGCGTTGGTCAGAGATCCCAAGTTGCATAATTGACTACAGCCATCACTGAGCGAAATGCTGGTGTGCAAGTTGCCGCACAGCAGTCTCTTAACTATAGGGTGTGCGAGTCAGTTAATGCTTAATGGATTTAGGCTGATTCAAGTGGTACTTTTTAAAGTCCCCCGATAGCCACAGAAGGAAGGTGCCAACAGAGCAGGGCTCTGATCCAGTGAGTGGGAAATAGTCATTTCATTTTCCTGCCCAACCCTTGTTCTGCATCAGCAATTTGATGGAGAGAGAGAAGAAAGCCAGCCAGATACTCGTGTCAGAGCTCTTCCCCTCTCTCCCCGCTCCATCCCAGGTTTTAAAAATGAATATGGAGTTTGGCAAGCACGTTCTGGTACTCTGTGTCGCCTTTGAACCTCAGTGTGCCAGCTTTCACTCTGCACATGATTTGGTAAGTCCATGTGCTAAGTCAGTTTTCCTACAGTAATATGTTGTACCTAATATGTGATGCCTTCATGGGGAGACATCGTGGTGAACTACTGTCTGTCGTGAAACAATTTTCTGGGACCGTGTACTGATCATGTCCTGAGATGGAAACCTTTTGGTTCTATGGAGTTTCCATAGGCCAGTCAGATTCATCCTTCATAGAAGGCCAGCACAAAGACATGACCCAAGAATCAAGCAACGTGTTGCCTTTAGCAAAATGGTGAAAATAATGTGATGTTAGATATGGGGTAGCCCCTTCAGTCAGGAGGTTCTCGTATTTCCTCCTATGGTCATAAGATGGTGGCACTTCCTTGTTCCCTCCTGTCTGTTTCAATGGGGTCAGAGAGCTCTGAAGTCCTCAGCTGAAGCATTTGTGGTGCTTCCTTTTCTTCTAGAAACATTGGTTGACGCTTTGTGACACCCACAACATGCAGTGCTTGGCTACCTGTATCATCTTAGATGCATTGTAGCTGGCATTAGAGGATGTGGGGATATTTTGGTTACCATGAAACCTGTCAGAGGATCTTTTCATGGGTAGCATAATTGGGAGCTTGCAACTACTTTGTTAATGCGTGTGTGTGGAGTGGAATGTCTGGCTAGGTCATTGAGTTGTTTTTCTGCCATGCATTATTCCAGTGCTGAGGAGGAAGGTTACGATCAGAACAGAGTTAAACAGGACATTGCAGACCCCCATCCTGATTGTTAGAAAAGGGTTTCTTGTTTTCTCTATCTTTTTGGTTGGGGTTGAAGAGGATAAAGAGTTGTGGAGGGCATCACATAACAGCAGAGCACTGGCTGTCCATCCAAAGGGTTCCAAAGTTCAGTATCTGGTCTCTCCAATTAAAAAAAAAAGAATCACGTGGGGTTGATGGTGAACAGCCATGCCTAAAATGCCAAAGGGCAGCAGAAACGAAAATACAGGAGAGGAGCAGGATCCCTAACCATCTAGGCCCAATATGCACACATTTTGGGTGTGACCTTCACAAAATAGTTGATGTTTAAAGAAGGGACGGGGAGAAACATTGAGGTACAGATTGTACTTGAAGCTGGTGCTTCAAACATAGGGTGCTTACTACATGCAAGAGTGTTTGGACAGGCATGTTCTGAAATGGGCCCATAGCCTGAACAAAAACAAGGTAGCTTCCTTTGTAATCCAAGATTAGGAGGTTCGGTGATCCTCTGCTTTGAAAGAACCTTTGAACTGACTCACTTGAGTGAAGCCATCCATTGTTGTCACTGCTCTTGGTGGCTACATTACCTATGGAAAAGTTGTATAAACCTGGCATCTGTTGAACATATATAGATCCCTCCAATATGTAACAACAGTAGGTACAAGTGGAGTGCTTCCAGCCTATAGAGATCCCAATGCATTCTTTCAGTGTAAATGTGGGGGGAAATATTCAACCCTTCCTATTGGGCCACCTCAAACTCTTCCACCTGCTCCCTTTAAGAGCCCAGTTAGATCAAACCACAGATTTCCTAAGTCCAGCATCCTGTTTTCACACAGTGGCTAATCAGATGCCTCTGGGAATTCCAGGCAGGCTGTGAAAACATCTCCATCCTTTGTCCCAAATTAGCAACTCACTTGTTCAGAATGGTGTATCATAATGTGCGATTACAACAGCCTCTTTGAGTTCCAGCTTTTGAAAAGGAAATGCTTCCCTCCGGCAATGTGCTTTTGCATGTGCTATTCATAGTTGAATGCTGATGGTACACAATCGTCTTGAAGGTCTCTAAAGGCTCAAAGGTCCTTTCGCTGGACGGTCTGGTGCACATTGCTACAACAAGAGTGTTAAGTTGAGAAATCCCTACAAGCCTACTCTTTGGTCTTCTGCCAAGAAAAATATGGGGCAGAAACTGAATATATGAATATCTGTTTCTAAGATGGGGTTTTTGGCATACAGTATTTTCATTTCCATATCTTTGCTCTTACTCAGTGTTTCTCAACCTTGGCAACTTGAAGATGCGTGGACTTCAATTCCCAGAATTCCCCAGCCAGCAAGGCTGGCTGGGGAATTCTGGGAATTGAAGTCCACGCATCTTCAAGTTGCCAAGGTTGAGAAACACCGCCCTTACTGATAGCCACAGAACCTTGCAATTCAAAGTGGATTCTGCTTATCCCTCATTGCCTCTGTTTATGCTTTAAGGGAGTTATTTTCTATGCTGCTTCCATGGTTCCCTCTGTTTCTGCTAATGTTTGCCTGAGGGGTGGGGGAAACATGACATGGATATTACAGATGGAGAAATGGCCACCCCTGGCTCACTGTTGAAATGTGTATCTGCTGGTTGTACATCCCGTGTTGATTTTCTATGGGATGAAATGGATTGATAAGTAACCAAAACTGATGGCACTAAAAGCATTAGGGTTTTAGGATTCTTACAGTGTCAAAAAATGTCAGCCACCAAGTCTGTAATAATAGCTGCACTTAAACAGTTGCATAAGTGCACTCACTTCTTATTCAAGAAGCAACTGTGTGTCTCCACATAGCTAAATCCTCTGCTTTGGATCCTGAAACTTCCCAGGTTCACAATTAGCACAGAACATCTCAGCTTTAGACAGAAGGACCCAGAAAGAGGTCAAACTGGAATGAAACCAAGCATTGTGTGGGAGAAAAATGGCTATGTTTGAGTCCATAACCTACTCCTTGATAGGAGAAATAGTTTGACAATGGCACCAGTTACTCTGAAGGGTATTGCTTTCTCCTGGACCTGAGATTTCCAAATGGAGATTGGACAACCATCCACTTAGAACACTTAAGCTGTAGACTGCATGAATCAAGTCGGGTTAGATGTGATAAGATTGCAAGTCTGTCTGGGATTTAACTTGCTGCTGTTATTGCCAACTCCCTTGATCCTATGATTCTGTCCCCTCACCCTGACTTGGCAGGCCCAGGTATGACCGTTAAGTTAGATACTGGGAAAGTAGATATCAGTTTCTTTGGCTGTCCTTCCATCTTGGCCCACTATTTTAGGATACTGTTCCCAAGCCATTGTCGGAGACTTGACTATGTAATATTTATGTATTTCACCTGTCCTTCCAGAACGCAAAGTAGCATACAAAGTGCTCACTTCTCTTATTTTTCTCCATAACAACAACTTGGTGAGGTAGATTGGGCTGAGAGAGTGGCCCAGAGTCATGTTAGCTTCTGTGGCAGAGGGTGGGCTAGAACCTGGGCCTCCCCACTCCTACTCCAACACCTTCATCAGTACATCACACTGAGTGTCAATGATACTGATGAAAGGAGCAAGCTGTGGTTCTCTCTTCTATCTGTAGAAAATGAGGCAACAGCAGGGATGATGTCCAGGCTGTTCTGAGGAAAGAAGATTCTTAATGAAACATGAGCCTAGTTGGACATACATTTGTAAAATATTCATGGCTGAGAAAATATGGAGCAAGCCAATACTATACAATTAAACATTTCATTTTATTATTCCTTTACTTAGGGCTTTTCCCCATCACACATTCATTCTGACAATAGGGTGAAACTGGTATTTTCAAAGCTTGCATGTAGTGCTGAAATCAGGCCGAAAGCCAACTATGCTTGCATGTGGTTGATAGAGGTGAGTGAAGCTAATAGGAGAAGGCCTTCAGCCTCTCTTGCATTTTGTGATGGACATTCAAGGAGAAATAGATGCTTCTCACAGTATTTTCATAGGGCCGGAAGGGATCATTAAGGCCATCAAAACGGACCCTTGCTTTCTGCAAGAATCTA